TATATATATATATATATATATATATATATATAGTTCAATTTAGGACTATGCATTATGTTAAGCTTTGTAGTTTTTATTATTAATTTTTTATTTTCTTTCAAATTTAAAAATAAAATTGTGAGATACCTACAAACAACTCATAATCTTTGAAAATGCCCTTAAACAAACCACACTAGTAACATTTATACATAATAATACATATTACTTATAACATTTCAGTTTATTTGTGACTAAATAAATCATTTATTATAAGATATAAATGTAGCTTTGAAAGCAAACAAATTAATCTCTCTCCTTTACAGAAATTCATATAGACATAGCACATAAATTCCAGGATTTAGTATAATATATAAAATAAATACATGCGACTGCATTAACTATTTTCAAGTCTTTATAATATAAATAAATATACATATACACAGACACATGTAACAGTTGAAACATGAAAAGATTAAAATATTTTATTCAACAATTACAGTTTAACAATAGCTAAGGTCTTCAACTGATCTACAGGATGGTCTAAGATATATACATAGAAAATTATTTGAATTTCCTGACAAAATTATCTTTCCAGAAAACACACATTAAATACAAAAGTAAATGAGAACAGGTTAGTTCATAATGTCCCCAGTCATCTGCAACAGTCATGAAAAACCAAAACCACAAAAAATGTTTAAGATGCATCAGAATCCTATTACCATTTAGTCACCTTGTATAATAATATTCTATTGTGGGTTTGTTCTTCAAACTGATGCAAAATAAATCATTTACACATCACAAAATTAATTCTGCATGCATAGGACATATAAAAATAGGAAATGGATGCAATAATAAAGTAATATGCATATTAACCCTTTTCCAGACTGGGAGGGTGTCACAGATAGACTGAATTAAAATTAAAAAATAATCTATGTATTACGAAGTAATACATATTTTAATGAAAAGCAGTTCTACAGTTTATATGAACTAAACTTAACATAATTTTATTTTAAAGTATTAGCTAACATAATATTTATCAAAATTGGTTAAAAAACATCAAAGTAATTTTTATGAAACAGTAATTCTACATATTACAAAACAAACTTTATACAAGTCAGTTTTAAACTTTAATTAGAAACTTTATCTAGTATGCTAAATAAGTTATTAACAACTTTGTATTAGATCTAGTCTGGATCTATATTTATAGCACTAATGAATATTCATTATCAAGGTGTGGATGCTTTGTGCATACATGCAAACAGTTCAAAATGTGAGGTCAGCATTTTTTAAAATCTGTAAACAATATATTTATTACCCTTTGAGTTGAATTTCAACAACATCAGCAAAACTCACTAAGTATTGGCTTCTGTCTACAGCATTGCAAACAAGAAAATTACCAGTGTAACTTATTGTAGCACATATGTAAAGATATGAATCATGACTAATATATGATAAAGGCAACCTCACTTTGACATGGAGTTACATATAGTCATGTTTACATGATGGAAAGTGCTTATCTTAACAAAAGGTATCTCTTCTCTTAGGTATTCTGATAGGGCTTCACCTTGACTGGATCCCTGGTTGTCGTCTTGATCTTATGTTGCACAAGGTCTGTTTTGCCCAGTCCATCTGTGTACTGGCACAGTTGCTTCTGCAGGTCTTTCTTCGGCTTGTCAGTCAATTCATCATTTATGTTGATGACCTTGTATGTTTCATCTCCACCCAGTGGTTTTAGGCCTAGTAGGTCTTTTATCTTCCATAACAAAGTCATATGGCCCGGCATGGCCAGGTGGATAAGATGCTCGACTCGCAATCTGGGGGT